TTGTGTGAGACTCACTCACACAGTTTCCTCAGATGCTCATAGAGCACGTGGTCACTGCTCATGATCAATCCGACACGGGAGGGGAGGGTGGACAGGTGACAGGTCTGGTGCGGTGAGGTGAGGAAGGATTGTGTGGCTCGGTCATGATGGTGACGCAGATTTGCGAGGACGTTCAAGGTGCAGCACTCGATTTTTTTAAACACACATCCTCTGCGACTGCCGCTGCCCTACTTTCATGTGATGGACCTTTATGTGCTGATTTGAAGTGGGTCGACTGTGTGATCATGTTTACTTGCATTTTTCCAAAACATGATCAGCCTACTGGGGAAGCACAGAATCACAATATCCCTGACACCAGCATTTTAACAGAATGTGATTTCATGCGTTAAAACACGTGGATCAAAACGTGTACAATATTGACATAATGTGGGAAAATGAGGTTTCTGCCGCTCGTAACATGCAGATGATTGCATGAGAGGAAGTGACAGTGACATACAGATTATATTATCTAACAAAAAATGATAATGGTGTCGCACGTTGAATAACGCTGACGTTTTCACAACATATCTACACCTTCTGCTGTCTCACCTGCCACCTTCGTCCCACCTCCTGATAACATCTGTCAGCCGTCAACGACAAGACAACAAAACCGCCTTTTATCCCACTGGCACTTTTTTATGTTTGCACTGCATTTGTCTTGATAGGAACCATCACGGTGTGAGCAGAATGTAAGACTTGAAGATAAACACTGTGAATAAGCGTAAAGCTGCTCTCCTGGATCATCGATCTGTTTTTATTCGAGGACGCTCACATTGTGCATGGCCTACATTAACAGCCCCAGCTCTGGTGAGGATCTGGAGCAGACGGGACATTTGTCATACTCTTCTCTGTCCTCTTTATGTGCACACACTCCTCACACAGATCGCACACAGATTATTGATCTAATATTGTTGCTGCCTCCACTGGACGACACAACCCGCAGGCTGCTCTGAGTGTGACCGATGTTTCTTGTCTCTGGCTTTGAAGCTTAGTCCGAGTGTCCTCATGATCCGTGTTTCATGAGGACACACGTTGGAAGGGATCTGCTGTTCATTTTAATTCTAAAGGTTTAAATTAGCACCACAGTGTTTTCTGAATTTCCCTATTTACTAAAATATGCATGACTCAACTCTTGATCGTTAGTTTGTGCAATAACATGCCGTGGGTTTGTTTCCATGTATATCCAGAGAGGTTCTGCTTGCTGGTGTTGTTTTGCAGCCAGGGAAGTGGAAGGTCTGCTACACCCTGAACCTGTGGTGCACCACTGCCTCCATGTGGATGGCAGTAAAACATGAAGGGAGATCTGATAGAATCTCACAGCTACAATAGTTTACCTCTTTAAATATGGCTGATGTGTCTACTCTCTCTGTAAATCACAGACATCTATAATTATACATTTTTTCTCCACACCATCTTTATTTCTATACCAGGAATGATTTTCCTGTTTTGATTTTTATGCAAACATGGAATAAATCACAGGCTTCACCAGTCTGCTTGTCAGGATTGATTTTTTTAATTTTATTTGCTAAGTGTGGCACAGTTAACTTATTAAAATATTATTAAGTCATAAATTATCTATTATGATGTTTTTCAAAAGAGTAATTCAGACATTTCTAAGATTCAGTATTCATATCACATGTTGGTTTCAGTTGTTCTACCAGTATCTTGATACACATTATGGCCTCATGTTATATTTTGATACTAATTAAAATAATATTTACATTTTGTATCCAGCTAAATGCGGGATTCCAGGATATATTTCACGTTCTCCAACATGGTGAGATATGAGATTTTCCCTTGGTAGATGTATGTGCTCTCTTAGCGCCAGTCTACTTTCTTTTATATGATGATGGAGTGTTGCAGGTTATGATATTGTCATACTTTATGATGCTCAGGAGTGGTCAGGATCACAACTTTTTAATAACAGGAAATCATTTGTAAGTGTGGAGCTGGGACAGGCTGTTATACTTTGTGTTGCAGCAGCAGCAGCAGCAGCCAGTTCTGGAAGGAATTAAAAAATGAAACAGGAGGATCAGCAAAGGTCTCTCACTCTGGGGCTGTCAACACGTGAACATGTGCTGGAGAACACGAACAGCAACCTTGGCCTGGGGGCGTGCATGTGTGTGTGCGCGTGTGTGTGTAGTGTTCAGGTATCACTTATGTTGTGGGGACCTAATCAGTCTACACAGTCATATTTTGTGGACTAGTCTTCCTTGTGGGGATAAAAATCAAGTCCCCATAACGTAAACCAGTACATTTTATGGTGAAGACATATTTTATGGTTAGCTTAAGTTACCTTTGGATTTGGGTTTTGGCTCAGGTTAGGCAAGTAGTAACTATGGTTCAGGTTAGAGTAAGTCCTCAGGGATTTAATGTAAATCAATCTAATGTCCACTGAAGTCAAATGTCCCCTGCAACACACTGAATCTACTCCAGAAACTGTGATCACCACAAAATACACCAACAATCTGTGGTTGACCAAGACTCTGACCCTGGAGACAGAAACAGTGAAAACACTCTTTCTGACCCAGAACATAACACACAAAGGGCACACAAATCAAAGGACATCTTAGTAAACAGATCAGTTTGTGTTCCCTGGAGCTCCATGGACTATTTCATTTTATTCATATCGGTGAAAAGTGGCATAGACAATAATACATTAAAAGTTAACTTTGTGTGTAGCCATTATATAGAAAGATGTATTGTATATGTACTTTTTACATTTCTTTTAACTTACTTCATCGTTAATTTTCCTCTTTTGAGTCTGTAATGGCTGTCACCCTCATGGGCCACCCCCAAACCCGTAGGAGGTCTAGCTAAATACCAACTTCTGCTTATCATTGTAAAGAAACAGTTTGGTGTTTGGGATATTGCCTTCATGTGTTTGTCAAAAAAAAAAAAATCTAGATCAAAGATAATGCCTGTATGTTTGACAGGGTCCTTTGGGAGAACTGTTCTGCCACTGGAGTTGAAAGGGAGTGTGAGACGTGAGTCTGTGTGGCCTAGAATTATAACTTCACTTTTCTGTGCTGGAAATAAAGTTGCTTTTTTTAATGGTTTTGCTTTGTGTACAAACCTAAAGCTCGTCTGAGATCTCACAGCAAGAGACTTTCTTTGTCTTTAGGGGTCAGTTTCCCACCACGTGCAACATACCACACAGTGAAGGAGAGCATCAGTCAGGCAGAGAATCTAATCTGTATGAATGGGAGTAGATGGAAGAAAGAATTGTTTCCCACCTCTCATTAAATTAAGGTTAAAATCTCAAGTGAGGTAAAAGTTTGGATCCAGTACCCCCCAACATCTTGGGGCCCAGTTGGGATGATGACCCCCTGGTGGCTGTCTGCAGTGTAGGTATTAACTTGACTACTCCACATTAGTAAATAGGACGTAACGGAATTTAAAAGAGTCACAGTACACGTCACAAACAAGTTTTTCAAAAAGATGGTTTCTGTCATTTTAGATAGTTCTTACCTCACTGATGTATGTCCGTGTTCATTTTACCATCAAGTTTGATTTTGATGAGTTATTTGATGCTGTAAAGCATCATGATTTACAGCTGAGACTGATGGTCAAGCGTGTGTATTGGTGCGGCTCCATCCCCCAATCACGGGCGCAAGATGGCAGCGTTCAAATCTGGGATATTTTGACTTCATCTCTGGATAGTGGGAGCAAGTGGAGACATGTTATCCATCTTCCTTTGCAGTCTATGTGCAATAGCCGCACAAATTATTTATTAAATTTCGAATTCATTAACTTTCCGTCAGTCAAATGCTGAACCAGTCACTTGAGAAGTAGCAGACACTGTGAAGAAGAATGTCTGGTGTTGAATAATTCAGACCAGAGCAGAAAGAACACAGAGTTTCTTCTCTTGTCAAAGTCACAGATTTGACTCTGAGCGCATTTGCTTTGCTTTCAACTGTCAGACACTGCAGCATTTATCGATAAAACTAATTCTATATGAGGTAAAATGACAGGAACATACTTTTTCTCATGTGAGAACAGAGTTGTCTTGTGCTTTAACTCCTCAGGCCTAATGTCAGAATGAGCTTGCAGCATGTCGTGTAGCTGAGGTAAAAGCTGCTGCAGCATCATCTGTATGAGCCATACAGCCTACAGGCTGTTAATCAGAGTTACTGGTGAGGGAAAGCGGAGCAGGCAGCCAGTGATGTACGAGGAAAAAGTTTGATGTGAAGGGCTGTCAAAACTTTAGACACTTTGATCTGCTGCAGTCGCTGCAATTTCATCTGATCAAAAATGACTGATGATGTGCACTGATAAAATATCCCTGCAATGTAATAGATACATAATTTTCCCATAGTGTGATTAAACTAGACGTGTGTACAATGTACTCGATAGTGTAAGATATATTTGTGCCTATTATATTAATGTACGTTGTCTTTGACCTCAGACATCCATAACCTCGTCTGGTACATTGATCTATGTTTATGATTTGCATATGGGCATTTGTGCACTCAAGTTTGTGTAAATTTAATTGCGTATGTTGCCTTAAAATTGTTACATGAGTACATTTAACCTTTTTACACTCGGAAAAAAACATTTGTACACATTTCAATACTTAAAATAGAAATATTTTTATTTATTCATGCATCTTACCCCTAATCCAATCACTCTCATTCATTGCACTATAGTAGCACGTAGTATCAAAGCAGATTCAAATCAAATCAACAACCTGTTTAAAACAGTTACATCACAAACTGAATATTGAAATCTTATTTATTGTATTAAAGTGCATTAGTTTTAGCTGGATGTGCCTAATCACCTGAAACCTGGGTGTGCCGATCTGAAACAGACCATTCTGTGTAATGTGTGTTTTTACATGAAGTACTTTGACTACATTTTGCATGAATGTGATTTAAGTTACAGACGTGACAAGACCTCCATCACTTTCACTTTGGAACGTCAAGCTAAATATTAACCAAACATTGTTTTACTTTGAAAAGAATCAACGGAAAGCACTTCAGAGTGTTTCCGGTGCATCACCGGAAGAAGCTGTCAACAGTAACTTTGCGCAGAAACTTCTTAAATCAGATTAATTTGAATCAATAATAGTTTCTCTCCCCTCAAACATCCCGCTGTGAGCTTGAACCCATCGATTAAAGTTGACAACGACTTCCTATCCTGTCAATAATTTTTATTTAAACGCCTCATTCGGAGCCGAAGTTCTCCTGCTAGCTCGGCTAAGCTAGGCTAAGCTAGGCTAACCTCTCCATGGCCCCTCTCCGGGTCCTGTGTGTTCACGGTTACCGACAGAACGGCGGCTCGTTCCGGGAGAAGACGGGAGCTCTGCGGAAGCTGCTGAAGAAACACGTGGAGCTGGTTTATGTGAGCGCACCTCACAGTGTCCCTCAGGTCAGAGGAGAAGGTGGGTCTTCATCATCATCTTCATCTGTTCCTGCCACACACTCAGTGAAGAAGAGTTTGTTGGAAAGTTTGTGTCAGGGGAAAGTTCAGTGGATGAATTCAACTTCAGGTGGACGCAGCGACTCCTCAGATGGAGCAAAGTCACTAAAGATTCTACAAACTAAGTGATAATATGAGCACATTTCTGTGTTTACATGTTGTGATCATGGAAAAACAAAGGACATTTCCATTTACAGCAACAATCATGGTAGTGCTTCTGTTCAGATTCATCACATCGTCCAAACAGTCAGGGTGCAGCCTGGAAAAAGTTTTGAAATACATCAAATCTACGGTATTTATTGTATTTGGATAGAAACAACTTGATGATTGAACAACTTGATGATTAGTCCCAACAGAAGAAAATCTATCTGCGTTTATGTAATTATTCATGTAAAAACACAAAAAGAGATTCTCTGGGTGCAGCTTCGTCTGGGTTTGCTGGTTATCTCTTTTTTTAAATCATCATAGTTTGAGAATCTTTGGAATTTGGACTTTGGAAACAATGGAGGCTGCAGGAAGCTCTGTAGAGGATTCGTCGTGATTTCTTAACGTTATCATGATTCACTTGATCGAGACAATAATCGTTAGTTTAATTGACCTTTTATGAAAACTAGGACATAATGACATATTACATTCAACTGTCACTGTGCTCATGGTCCTGTCGTCTGCAGTGCCTCTCTTCTAATTTTGAACAGTTCAACACTGCACAATAACCTTTTGTCCTTTCAGAAGCTCCAGAGAAGGAGAATGGTTCAGGTCCTGGAGGTGACGAGGACTCCAGGGGTTGGTGGTTTTCTGACATCCAGGCTCGGAGCTTCAGTGCTCAGCAGCAGTGTGAGGAAAGCCTCGGGCTGGACGAGAGTGTGACGCTTGTGAGGGAAGCCGTGAAAGTCCAGGGTCCGTTTGACGGCATCCTGGGCTTTAGTCAGGGAGCAGCTTTCGTGGCCATGCTGTGTTCTCTTCAGGAGCAAAAACTGGAGCCGGAGTTCAACTTCCGCTTCGCCGTCCTCGTCGCAGGTTTCCGCAGCGCATGCAAGGAGCACCTAAGGTTCTACAGCACTCCCCTACAGATCCCTTCCCTGCATGTGTTTGGACTGGAGGACCGAGTCATCCCTGACAACATGAGCAGGGAGCTCCTCCCCTCCTTCCAACAGCCTCAGGTCCTGACGCATCCTGGTGGCCATTTTGTTCCTGCTGCATCTGTTCAGAGGCAAACGTACCAGGACTTTCTAAAGAGTTTCCAGTGAGAAAAACAATGTATGAGTGAGACAGCAGCGCTTACATATTCACAGTGAATGTGGATTATTTAATGTTTAAAATGACAGCTCATGGTAACAATTGATTCCAATTTGGGTTCAACATCATGACCTTTAGATACCTACTGTCCTTCTCAGGGAAGATGTCCTGTAACAGGCAATAAATAAGACGACAGCTGTTTATGTCATCTATTCTGTCTCCTGTTTTTTTCTTGTGACCTCTTATGATATATATATAATTTATTGTAATTTATTGCTAAAATGTGATAATGACCTTTTCAATGAAGAAACCAAATTTGTGGAACAGATTTTAATGGATCATAGCAAGAACACAGGTGCAATTAATAACCTTCATTATAGCTGTGTTTCAGTGGTATTTATTACACATGTGCTTTTCCTGCTGAGTCTGATGAATGAGAATAGATAAAGATAACAAGATAATCGTGTTAGTGATGGTTGCAAAAACAGTGACAAATGAAAATCGAGCCTTGTAAGAAGTTCACACCTCAACCCTGACCAGTTGCTGTGTAATTGCAGGATTTGCGATTTTGGAAAGTTTCTGTATGCAGACATACAGACTCCGGTGTTCTGCCTTCAGAGACTGTAAGAGAATCCAACTTTGTTTGTCTGCCGTTTACTGAGGTCCTCAGCAGACTGCTGCACAGGTCAGTCTGGTTATTTGTTTAGTTGGTTTGGCAACTAGGTAAAAATCAAGGGATATTATACACAATTTGTTTACAGTCATCTCATTTGCAGAAACTAAAAAGTATTTACAAAGGCAACACAACAGTGGAAACACTCCACCATACAGAAGAGTGTCAGGGCCAAGCATAAGAAAATAATGAGATTGTCTTGATTTTTGTCCTTTAGCATTTTGAGGATTAATAAAACTAAATCATCTTTTGTGCATAAAGTCAAAATGACAAATTGAAATGGTTCATCAAATCCAGTTAGAGAAGCAGCTGCGTGGTTTCTCCTTCTGTACAGACGCTTTTTCTGCACAATCTGCTGTTTATATACAAAATGTTTTTTTTTTCTTGTGAATGAAATTGATTCTGAAGCACAAATTCACACAAAGGAATCTACACTAAGCATTTTGTAGATGCAGTCATGTGTGCTAACATTAGTTGTTAAAAAATATACTTAAATGTTTAACTTTAATCTTGAAATTTCAAGTTTACTCTCGACATTTTTACTTTATTTTCAAATTCGGAAGAAAACAAAAATTCCCTCATGTCTGGCCCTAATACTCTTCCATACCACAATAACTGGAAAGTTATGTCAAGAATTTTTAAGATTCAGAAGAACCAGAGTGGAAAATGTTATTCAATAAGTTTGAGTAACTATTTTACAAACTTCTGTGTCGTTGTGTAACAATATAAAATCATACTGCAACAAAAAATATTTACAATAAAATCTTTAACAGTTGTTGGACTCAGTTTTCACACATCCTTACATGTTTATTAAATCACTTTCAGCCATTCAAAAGTAACAGAGTAACTTATATGGAAGCATAAAATGTGACATGAATGACGAGATGATTTCTTTAGGTGTTCCCTCATATGTACGAGTTTAAGAGCACGCTCAAATACGCTGGGTTCGAGGACATGTTGTTCTTTTATTTCTACAGCATGTGCATGTCAGACTGCGCTCATTTGATTGTTTCCAGATGTGTGCTCTCTCTGTCTCTCTCTCTCTCTCTCTCCCCCCCCTTCCCTTTTGCTTTCATCTCCCACCTCTACCTCGCTCCCAACTCTTCTCCACATCCTCGTCCCTCCTACACTCCCTGTGTGTCGCCAGCATTGGGCACAACATCCCCATCACATGCCTGCCATATTTATGACGTGGACCAAAATAGTTTTGTCTGGATATCTCAGTAATCTACTCTTGTCGGTGGTTAATTACCTCGCTGAGATGTGTGTGATCAGCCTCGTCTCTTGCTCTCTGTCTATATGTCTATAACATGTCACCTGTTTCAACATCTAATGAGCTGTTGTTGCCACTCACACTCACGCACAGAGATCATGGCTACGTGGTCTCGTTTCTCCATCACAGCCCTTATATTTGTTCTCTCCTGTGCTCCCCTGTGGTCCTTGTGTCCCTCCAAGACCTCACAGCACACTCACACACTCACACACACACACACACACACACACACACACACACTAGTACACATGGTTTTGATAACAAGTAAGAGGCGAACGGAGAGAGTGAGTGAGTGAGGGAAACGGTAAAAGAAAAACACAGAGGGTCACTCTTGCCAGTAAGTTTTACAACAGAGCCGTGACTCTCTCCTCAGGAATCTGTTCTCCCTGTTGCACAACAACCGGGAAATAATGGAATGAGAGACAGAGACAGATGAGGGTGGAGTTATCCTCCCTTCCTCCCTGTCTGCCTCCCACTCTCCCTTTGCCTCTCCCTCTCTGGCTGTTGCAGTTTGAAATGAAAAGGGGGAGACCAGGGGCACATTGAAGTTTTCATTGCGACTGAAGGATCACTTTTTCCCTCTTCCCCCAGTGGAGCACTGGGGATGGAGCTGGGGGCAGGAGGGTGCGTCAGGGCACAGATGGGCTCTATTTTGATTATGGAGCGTTTGTTGTTATGGGAGACGGAAGGAGGGGAGGGGCGACATAGTGTGTGTGTGTCTATATAAGACTTGCACTTAAACTCCAAAGAGCCTGGTCATCCCATGGACCAGGCTCATCCAGAGCGTGACAAAGCCGAACAACTTGTTACTACTGCTCCAACCACTGACAGCTCTCTCTGGAATAACCTCCGATGCTCTGCTGAGGGCTGGAGATATCATCACCAGGCCCACAACTTTTGGATTTACACACTTTTCTTTTTCAGCTTCATTTTTGTCTGCATTACTATCTACAACTTTCTGACCCCAACAAAGAGAAGATGCTGAAAAAAACAGGGACCATTGTGTAGTTTGGATTTTTAACCCAAGTTTTCATACCTCTGTAAAAAGACTGGACATTGAATTGATACGATTATCAATCAGTCTAAGTCTACGCATGTGTCTGTGTGTGCCTGCATTGTTAAACTGGTATGCTGCTGCTGCAGATGGATGTGATGTAACATCACCCTGGATTCTTTCCAGAGGTATGGCCTGCATCCAGCATCACATGGGATTTAGCCTCTCAGCTTCCTGTGTTTGTTTGTGTGTCTGAGTGTGTGTGTGTTTCTTTTGTAAACTACGCAGATAGTTTACAAGAGAGACACACACACACTCACCTCATGACGCGAGAGCTTGTTAGATAGCGACGTGTGTTTGAGGTGTGTGATGACTCATGAAAGAGGGAACAGAGCGAGTATATTTAGAGTTATCAGTCAAAACGCTATTTAAAGAACAGAGAGGGCAGAGGAAAGTCAATTGATGTGAGTGAACAACATGAAATTACCCGGTGAATTGCACAGTAATATTTATGAGATATCTTGGCTGACAGCAGTGGTTGTTCGTGTGTGTGTGTGTGGGTGTGGATCTGTATTTTTCATTTTTCCTCCATATGGGCGTGATTTGGTAATTTCTTATTCCATTGCTTGCATTCCCGCACGCTTCTGGTTTTTCTTCTGCTTTGTGGATTTCCTGTTTGTGTGGACGAAGTGTACTTTGGCTGAGGCCAAAACTCGTGTGGTTGTTGTCCACGTCCAGTCGCAGCATTCGCTTCATCGCTCCACCTCTCAACTGATTCAGACATATGACCTGTCCGATGGGCCTGTCACCTGGACAACACAGCCGCAGATTTGATTCGCTGCATCGTGTTTCTGGCTGACACGTCAGTACATTCAATTTGGCTGTGTCTGGTTAGACGTGACACTTTAACACCAGATGTAAATATGTCCAGAGGTCGTGGTGATGTTGACTGAGCAGGTTCTGAGGTGAACTGAGGACACGGCCGAGGCCTTCTACAGCCGTTTGATCTATGATGTCATCCACAGTCATTTGTCTGCCTGTGTGCTTTGCTGAACTGTTTTAGAGGCCGCGGCTGGGCCCTGGCGAGAAGAGTTGTGGTTTGGCTGTCCTTATAGGTGCCTAACGGACACTACAGGGGTAGATATTAGTCATCATGACCATGGAGGAGGACTGTGGTGGTGTCGGCATAAAACACAGAGAGAGAGAGAGTCATGTCCTGGCTCCAAAAAATGTGAGCGCTGATGCTCAACCTTGTCTTGTCTTGTTGAAAAGACTGAAGAGAGACATTATAATAATGTCATGAGGATCCATTACTGTGCAGAAGAATAATAATGATAATGTTTGTAACTACCAAAACTTAAGAAACAATAACAATCAAATAGCCGCTGTGGTAACGACCATAATAAAAGTCATAAAATCTCAGTGACTTTATCAGCCTCGCATTGGGATTCAATCGTAAACTATAAAGATATTTATTAGATATACAAATGGTTTCTGGTGTCGTCATTTGCAATAATTATATATGTATATAACTTTATTTCAGGAGCAATTTAGTCCACAACAAAGAAATACGTTTAAGGATGACAGGACTGATAAATCTAAAAGAATGTTAATCAGCAGACATCTACAGCGGTTAATCAGAGGAATGCCCCTCTGGTGTGACCAACAGCAGTGTGTGTGTGTGCGTGCGTGTGTGTGTGTGTGTCAGAACACTTTACCTCTCAGCCTTGAACAGTAAGAGTTTATGTGCTGTTGTTTATCTGTCAGCACATGAGCTTTTACGGTGCAGGGAAGCCGAGGATAAACAACTGCTCATTCTTTCCTTTTCTTTTCTTTTCTTTTGCCGCCAATAAAAAAAATCCTGGACAAAGGAAATAAGTGGGACAAATGTTATGCATTTCTCTCCATAGTCTTCAGTCAACATACTTTGTGATAAATAGTGCGCGGATGTGTTATCGTGTATATTGTTTTAATCATTTTTTTCACATTGGTGATTAAAAAGTCTTTATTCTGCACAGTAACGCTGTTTACATACATTTTTCTATGTATACAGAAAAACTGTAATTTCACAAAGGTGCAGCCTTGCTCTATGTACGGATGTTTTACTCGCAGCTCCAGACTAATGTTGAAAACACACTGGAAGGCTCAGTCCTCTGTAATTTATTTTCAGTATTTTTAACTAACTTTGAAAAACTCAGGCTGTACAGGATGCCTGAGAGTTTAGACGGCTGCCACAAATAGTTTGAGTTAGAAATCTATGTCTGTGTCGTAC